TAACTGTTTCCGACTTTTTTTCCATTTATAGTTGAACTTTCACACTTGTGCTTTTGGTTGCAATGTTGATTGGTTGCCACTTTGGATCATACATGTGTACATATATACACACACACACAGAGAGATAGATAGATCCAGAGGAATCCAAACAATGTAAACATTTCAAAAAAGGAAATAAAGATCTGCAGAAATAATTAAAAGTCGATTCATAAAAAATAATTTTTGAGCACAAGACAAATATTTTTCTTACAGTTAACAAAGACGTATTGTAACAGAGGTTTTTTGTAACATCTTACAACTTTTGTCACTGAGCAGTTTGAGCGTTTTACTGCACATTTTATCCCCAGTGTGAACACCTTCCTCTACAACTAGCTGGCACAAGAAGTCAAATTCACACAAACATAAATAAAGTTCTGAGTTAGCTGCTTGTTTTGGCAAAAGTTGGACGTGGTGAACTAAAGTAATATTAGGCGTATTGCAATAACTGACTATCCTGTAGTTAGTAGCCATTTTCGGAAAGCAAAATTAGCCGAAGGTAGCATTCATTTGTAAACGAAAACCGGAGCCATATTTTTATGTGTAATATAATTGTGTTTACCTTTGAATCTCTCCTCTATCCAGTCAAGGTTTAGAAACCATTGATTAAACTCGCCTACTTGTCAGCCGATTTCAAGAATCTCTAACAGTTAAACGCCATTTTGGCTCTAATTGCCCGTTAGAGTTAAGCTACACGAGCTTCGTGTTTGGACCACAATGGCGCCTATTTCCTTCTCACTTTAAAGCACACGATTTTAGTGAGACACGTCTTTCTCAGAGGTAAAGCACATCAGCTATTTGCCTTTCGTTTAATACAGTTTTATTTTTGTAAATATTATTTTATAAAATTCATTTTATTTGACAAAAGTATTTTAACAAAATTAAATAAAAACAAATTCACAATAAAGCCTAATAAAGATAAATTATGTGTCATAGCCATTCCTTTCATCAGGCATCTACTTGGTCGCCTATGCAGGTCTTGAATTTAGCATTCGTGTCCTTTTTAGACGCTCGTCAGCTTGTTTGAGTTCTTCTGAAGTTTTGACCGATTTCCAAAATCACGTTCTGCTGCCCAGTTGACGTGGACGAAGAGGAGCTCAGCTCAGGCTTTAGACTCGCATTCGGACAGACCTAACAAAATGGTAATGTTCGTTTTTTTCATCTGAAAATGATAGCATCGTAAAGCTAGCTAGTCCAGACAGTTAATTCATTTAGATCCAAGTTATCGTTTAGCTAGTTAGCCTATTCTGTGGACGTGGCTGATTTTATAAACCGAAATAATCCGAGACCCTTTACAAAAGTCTGCCTTAACACCGAATTAGTTTAGATGGATATACACCTAAGATGTCTCTTTTCTGATTTGGAGTTAAATGACATTGTAATTACTTAGGTAAGCTAGGATTAATCATCATGCTAACAGTCTGACAAACTGCAGTCCAGGATCAAACGTGAGGTGGTTATTTATAAAGTGCCTGCTAAGAAACAGATCAGGAGTTTAAAACATCGTATGTGTTCAAAATGTTCAACAAATGGACTTCTATTTATTTTGTCTATGATTGAAAAACTGATATTGGCTCAACAAAGCAAACCTATGGGAAATTATTTCATGTGCGTATCTGGAATATTTAAAAGCATGTATTTATGGTAACAAATGAGCTATATGGGGAAGAAAATATATTTTACTAATAAAGGTTTAAACAATTACTGAGATTAAAATTAAACGGTCATGAACTGCTATCCTTATAAATATAAACTATGAGCAACTTAGAAATGATTTTAATCGGCAACAAATGAACATATTTCTGTTATGAGTTGTCATGGAAATAAAATAAATTATCTTTTAATTTCAAGTGGATATATGAATCAATGTGTAAACCAAGTGGTTATCTATGGTTACCCTCCCTCCCCTGTTGTTGTTTAATGGATTGGTTTTTATCTCTGAGCATACTGTGAAACAGTGGACTTAATAAAAGGTCAGTAGCTGGAGGTTTTGCACCTGAATCCTTTTCATATGTTTCCAACATGTCTTTTGTTGTAGCCTGGACCAGCAGCAAGTGCAACAAATGTTGGGGCGTCTAGCCGTTCCCCGAGCAAAACAGTGGCTCCCCGAGCAGCAGGTTCCACCGTCCGACAGAGGTACATAATCTGATGAAGTCGCTGTTAAACTTTCACCAATATATCACTTTGGTCATCTATGGATTGTCATACTCTTATTTAAGATGAACTGATTATTGCCTTTTTTAAATGTATTTTCGTAGGACAGTTAACGGACACCAAAAGAGAAAATGACTGTAAAACTGTATAATAACGCATACAATTTCTGAAAATTTTCTATTAGCATTGAAATCAGAAAATGAAAATTGATCTGCTTGGTTTTTAGGTTGTGTAAATAAGAACTGCACAGGTCAGATATGACAGAAAATTAAAACAACTAAAGTCGTAAGTTTGTCCAGATTAGTCCAAACTTATTCATAGGTCAATAGTTGTTTTTTTGTTTTTTGTTGTTTTCCAGGTTTGTTTCAAGTTTTTTTAGAAATTTCTTTTGAATTTATGGTTCAACTAAGACGTACAGAGATACTCATTAAAGTTCAGTCATCAAATACTTGGAGATGAACACCTCAACTTGTGTAGCTTTCTTACTCAATATGAAATTCTAACAGACGAGGTGTTGGACAAAAAATATATCTTCGATAAACCCATGTCTGATTTTTATTTTTTTTTTTATTTAACTTTTTTTAATGTGACAAATCAGGGTTTATTTTATTTATTTATTTGTCTTCCTAACGTCTAACCTAGGTCTTTTTCATATGTGGTACTAAATCAGATGCGTATCTGATGTTCTTCAAAGCGACCATAATCTGATAATGTTACATTTCATCTAACTTTTACGTTATAAAAGTTGGGGTAAGTGTATTGATCCATATATTGATGGAATTGAAACCAGCATCTTGCAGTTTAAAGCTTGGTACTCCATAAATCTTTAGTTATAGAATAGAAGTCCCATTGCTTTATTTTAAGTTATGTTACAATGTGACCAACCATGCATAAAAAATAAGATCAAAGCAAAGAATTTGAAATTATCTTTCTGTAATTATAGTCTCTGAAAGCACATTAGTGGGCAACAATATCATGAAAGTACTGGATGTGTTAAATTTGTTCTTTCTTCAATTTGATTTTGAACAAGATGGTTTGAACTGCATAAATGACCGCAGCCACTTTAGATAATCCTTAAAAAAACATTAGAGTTAAGAAATATGGAATTTGTTTTTGTGGATTTGGAAATACAGGGTGAAAATAGAGTACAGATAACTATTCCATTTTTTTTATAGTGAAAATTCTCCTTTAACCCTAACCCTAACCCCCCCCCCCCCCCCCCTCCCCACAACAAAAAAAAATACCACCCCACCTCAAATAGCGACCCCGCCACTGTGTACTATAAC